GAACCATGGTGGTGGTTCATAATAGGGATCGCCTATTTGTTGTTCTTGTTATTAATATTATTGTTCCGCCAGCCTACAGCAAAAACGGAGTTATTTCTTTTTTTTTTCATTACCTAAAAAAATCATAATTTTAGTTAAAAAAATGTTATCATTATTCCTTGAAGTTAGTATTTTTACAAATATCTGGTGTTCCTTTAAGAAGAACAGGAATTACCAGCCAATAATAGATGAGCGTTAGATGACTAACATGTAGATATCTAATGCTTTGTACACTATACAATCGATGTTTCTGGGAAGCCAACCCCTATATTATATATATGATCTGGAGGAGTAAAAAAAATACACATAACATTAAATTTTATTACATAAATTCATAGAATAATTACCTTAAAAGAAACGAAGGTTTATTTAAAGCGGTGTTTTAGACATATATGTTGTATTTGAAAAGGCTGCTTTTGTACTAGTAAAATTTTACACGCACTTAGTGGAAGTTGTGTCTTATTCTAGACATATATATGTCTATTGCTATGCATCATGTATAGAGAATTTAGTTACACAAACTATAAACGCTCACTATATTCTCAAACAAATTTCCATGACAATTTCCACCTGTAATTTAATTTTTTTAAATGACGAAGTAATGCGATTAAGTAGTCAATAGCTACAGTAAATCATCATCTTTACGCCGTAATTTAAAAGATAGCATCAATACCAGTTTCGAGCATCGGATCGGCAATAACGGCGATTGTCGATTCCAAGTGTCGAATTATATGATTGCGAATTTTATAGATACTGCAGATAGAGATAATTGAAGCTGACTATAAGGAGTGGCAAAAATCGTGCAGGCAGTGATTCTGCGAAAGTGAGGCAGAAAGTTTATGGCTATATATTTTATTTATAAAACAATTAGTTTCAGATAAAGTATGCAGCAGCGACGACCCATCGGAGTTTAGGATGATCACAGTGGAAAAAAAGTCGTAGAAGTGTCATGACCCAAACTCTATCAGAAATGGAAGATTATATTAATATAATGAATTCATAATTGTTAATTAACACGTTTTCGACCTTACAGTGTGTGCAGAATGTCACTCTAAAAGGAAATCTGGCGAGCTCTACCAATACCGTGACCAGCCTTACTTTGACCAATAGAGAGGTGGAAGAGGAACGGGAAGTAAAACAACTATAAGAGATATTAAACATGCTTAT